CCCACACCGCTGCACTGTGCATCACCACGGCCAGGAGAGCCCAGCGGACCCCGACCCCGGGGGAGGACGCTCTACCCCGTCACGGGTCCGGACTCTGCCCCTGGCTGCCTCCTCTCCCGGTTAATGTGCCACTAACGCCAGCCCCGCCGCCTCAGCCCTCTCATCGCAGGGGATGCCCCCCACCACGCTCCCCCTGGGGCCGCATCTGCCCCTCATTGACTCTGTTTATCTGCCCTGCACATCAGCAGCTCCCATGGCAGACGGGAAACCCCTGCCCATGGGGCCAGCTATCGCAGACAAATGTCCCTCGGCATTTTCCAGCCACCTTGGCAGCACCTGGGCCCCTTGCATGCCCTTTGCAACAGCCGTGACGTAACCCACCGCTCAGGATGGGTCGCGGCAGCTCTCTCCGGCCCCAGATCGATGAATGCGCTGGGCTGGCGTCCACCCCGTTGTCTCCGTGTGCACTGAACATGCTGTCCACCCCAGGGCTGAGGGTAGGTCACGGCTCCTTGCGCCACGTCCCAGCAAGACATGGCATGAGCCACTCGTGGGCTCCGCGAGCTGGGGGAAGATGAGCTGCTCTTGTACCTTACTTTGATGGGCAATCCCGTTTTTCTTCACCTGCAAGAGGAAGAGGGGGGGAAGGTCTTGGGGTCCGCCAGTGGGATCTGGGCCCCAGGTGCCCATGGAGGGGACGTCCCACCTTGGTGAGGAGGCACATTAAGGGGGCAGAAGAGGATGGTTGATGGGTTCCCAACGCCTTCTTGGTGGGAGCCCTGCTGCAAGGGGAGGCAGACACTGCTCACAGGGTCCCTGCTGCCCCCGTTCCAGGGGAAATGCACCTCAAGACCGGTCCTGGCACAGCTGCCACTGTTGGGATACCTCCAGCATCGCAGGGGTGTAGCCCTCCCAGGCCGTGAGCCTGTACTCACTGATGGGGACATGAGTCTGTAACACCTAGTGTGACCACTGCATCCAGTCCATAACAGAACCTTATTCTGCATTAACCTCACTATAAGACAGGTCTATCGATCATTGCTCTGTGCCCAAGGACCAGCCTTGCAGACGGATGCCCATCCAAGTGCCATCCACCCAGAGAAGACTAGGTGTTGGGATGATTTGCCCAAGGGCAGAGCCACAGGGCCGGACATGCCTCTGCAGCAGCCACAGTCCCTGCTGGAGTGAGCTGTGCTCCTGCAGGCTTGGCCCAGCTCTCAGGTGTCATGGTGTGTCCTACAATACATTATGAAGTTGCATGACAAGCATGCCTGTTGTTCAATGTGCCATGGCTGTCAAGTGTGCCTGTGGTCCATCACACTGTGCCCATTGTCCATCATGTTGTGCCTGTCATCTGTCATGTGTGCCCGTGGTCCATCGCAGCCTGCCATCCTCCATCCTATGTGACCGTCTTCTGTCACGTTGTGTCTGTCATCTGTCATGTCTGCCCAGGGTCCATCATGTTGTGCCCATCAACCATCACACTGTGACCATCCTCCATCATGTTGTGTCTGTCTTCCATCATGCTGTGCCTGTCATCCGTCATGCTGTGCCTGCCATCTGTCATGTGCGCCTATCATCCAGCACGTGTGCCTGTTGTCCACTGCATGTGCCCGTGGTCCATCACACATGTGTTTCGTCCATCATGCCATTCCTGTTGACAGCCAAGGCAGCTCCCTCTCAGCTGTGCCAGATTTCCACGTGAGTGATTCTGACCTCCTCTACACAGCCCAAAGCTGGGAGAAGGACTACGGCTCTGCTGAAGCCTGCAGTGTTCCTCCACTGAATGAGAACCATGGGTCAGATATCAACTCTGAAATGCAAGCGCCACGACCCTGAGAGCTGCCCGTTGCAGGCTCTTGGCAGGTCTGGGAACGGGTCCCCGGCTGTGAGGAGCTGGCAAGGCTCCTGTGTTTCCGGCGGATGAACGGACTGTGGCTCAGAGCCAAGTGCTCGCTCCCTGGCCACTCTCCAGCTTCCTGATCTGATCTCCTCTGGGATGGCGTGGTCCCTGCTCAGCCAGCAGCGGGCAGGAGTGACCCACAGTAGTGTGGACCTGCCTGCTGCCCTGTAAAAAAGATGCTAAGAGACCTGCTTTTTGCAGCAACTGGCTGCTTCTCTCCATGAACCTCTGCCCATCCCTTCCTCCTGCCCCAGCCTGTGCAAGTGCTTCCCTAGAAAGGAGTCAGCCAACAACTTGGGGCTGGAGATGATGCTTATGGGATGGAAAGTCCCTACAAGCTTGCTGGTTTGGTGCAGGAGAGGTGACTTGTCACCTAATGTCACTGGACCACCACGGCCCTGGACCCTGCTGGGGCTGGCCATCTCCCTGCCGCGGGCAGCTGCCTACGAAAGAGCCTACGAGGAGCTTTTTGCCTACGAGGAGCTTTTTGCCATGAATTGCAAGCGGAGCCGTAAGCCGAAAGCCCTTGGGCAGGCCTCCGCGTGGCAGCATGGATCATTGGCACGTGCCTGGGGCTGGCATTTTAATCTGTGGCAGAGGACAGGGAGCCCCTTCCCCTTATGTGTCTGTAGGTCCTGGCAAGGGCAGTCCTGCTGGCCCCTTCTCTGGGCCTGCAGGGCAGGGGGTGATGCTTGGGGCTGTTGGTGCCAAAGGAGATGTCTGGGGCAGGATCAGCTGCGCCGCTGTGACTGCTGCTGGCACATTGCCCTCCCTACGCAAACACGCAATCCTGTTTATGATGATCCGCAAATGCAGTTTCGGCCAGGCCTTTCCCTTCAGAGTATAGTCTTTCTCTGCTGAGATTAATGAAGATGAACAAAAGGTGCAAGCTTCGCCTCGGTGGGAGGTGCTAAACTCTGCTTCAGCTCAGACCAACGCACATCTAGAAACGACCTGCCTACAGCTGACTGGCTCTGTCGGCCTTGAAGACCGTCTCTGCCCCTTGCATTGGGACAGGTACAAAAAGCTGTGGTGAACGAGCTCTGCTCAGCTTCCAGATTGACCAGCTAGATTTCCCCTTGGTTAAGACATGAGGTCTGCCCAGCATCTGTCACTTTGTATGGCTTTACCCATTCAGCAGAGCGCGGGGGCATACGTTTCAGACCCGTTTAGGTACAAGACTTCGGTAGGTGCTGCAGTGCTCCTGTATCAGGGCTTGGGAGTACAAACTTCAGGCCAAACGCCATCAGGCAGCTGCATCGTGGGGCCTTATCGGGCCAGGCGACTGCACCTCTTTGAACGGTGAGAGCGCTGCTGCCTGAGGTGTGCTGTGACCAGCCGGCTCCTCTTCTCCGAGAGGAGCTTGGAGCAGGTCGGAGCAGAGAACTTGTGTTGCTGCAGAGATGGTGGAAATAGCTACTAGCCTGGCAACTGCTGCTGGCTCCTCATTTATAGAAGTGAAGACAAGAGGGGTTGTGGAGGAACAACACCTTGTCACATCCCAAAGGCCAACAGAAGAGTGTAGAGCATGTGCAATGCCCCCTGGCACCCAGGTTGGAGAGACCTATCCTGTGGCTCCACCGCGCTTGTAAAAAATGGATGGGGGGAATCACGTAGGGGACTCTGTTCCACCCCTTTCTTTGTACTGCTCTGCCTTCTCCATAGCTCTGAGTTGCCAGGAGAAGTCCCAATGTCCCCCACCTTGCTGCGGCTCCTGCAAGGCAGGAAGCAAGCATGGAGGTGGGAAGGCAGGGCCAAGAGAGGAAACTCGTCCCTTGGCCAGCGACAAGAGACACAGCGGTGCTCAGGTGCCTCCTGCAACATGAATTGGGCGGCCGGCACCCCCCCCCCCCCCCGGCCAAGTACACGGCTGGCAATGGGGTGTGACCGGGCCGTGTGGCTAAAGCAATCATCAGCGGAGACAAAAGCACAGCCGGCACCCGAGGAATACTCACCTCCCCGCCGTGCCCTCATGCCTTGGGCTGCAGCAAGGAGGGAGTTTGGGGTGGACAGAGCCTTGATCACCGGGGAAGGGCAGGCTTCTCCTCCCTGCTGGCCTTCCCGGCCATCACACCAGGGCGCTCTGGGACAATATCACGATTTGAGAAACAAATGAGCCGGTGGTTTCTGGAAGGAAACATTGCTGGGAAGGGCTTGCACAGGGGTGGCCCCGCATCTGTTTGCTGTCTGCTAAGCTCTTGCTTGTTGTGCCTTTATCAGGGGCATCTGTGCAAACGCGAACCTCACCTTGTACTGCAGGGAAA